GGAGTGTGAAGGGAAGAAAAGCAGAGTTGTCACTTGGATTGTTCTGAGTACTGTTCTCTGGTGCCTAGATCAGCTCTTCTGATTCCAAGGAGAGGAGGTCAGACCTCCAGGTTGGTCATGTTTGGGGTGAATTCTCAGTTTATTTTCCTGTGCTGTATTTGTGTATTACTTCGAAGTTATTTCTGAAACAGTGTATATTCTCTTACTTGGTGGTAGGTACTGGAGTTAAACAGTGAATTGGGGGATTCCGAGGTATTCTTAGAACAAGTGGGCTTGTGCTGGGCAGAGGTCATGGGAAGGGCTTCTCAGGAGGTCCAGTGGGTACAAAGATGCAGCTCGGGAGGCCACTGGGGCTTGTGATGGGAGCTGGGCTCTGAGAGCTGTTTGGTGAATGCCTGATGTTAAGTAGGCAGTGGAGATTACTAAGTGTTAATGAGGGTGAAGGTTGGGAGCTCGCTCTGTTGGAGCTTGTGAGTTATTAATAAGACTTTGGTGAGAGGGGAGGGGGACGGAGCAGACCGACTCCCGTAGGGTTTGAAGGGTTTGAAGCAGTCCAGTGACCGCATCTCACTGAGTTTGTGTACAATGACTCTGGCTGCCGCGTGAGTGTGGACAGAGATTAGGGTGCAGGGCCGGGCAGTTGAAGGAGCTTAGAAGAACCCAGAGGAGGCCAGCAGATCAGTCAGGAGGCTGTAAAGTTGAAGAAGTGAACACAGAGTAACAGATGGGTGTGAAGTGTTAAGGAAGTGACAACTCTTGAGGTTTCTGTTCTGAGTAACCAGAAGAATGGAGTTGCCTGAACTGAGAGAAACGCTGTAGGTAGAGCAAGTAGGGCATTCAGTTCTTGGAATCAGACATTTTCATTTGAGGTCATTATAAATTCGCTTGCAGTTATAGGAAATGGCATAGAGGCCTCCTAACAATTGGCTCAGTCTTCCCCAAGAGTAGCGTCTTGCACAACTGTAGTACAGTAGCACAGTAGTAAGATACAGGGCATTTCGTGGTCACACTTTCAGGCTCGAAAGCTACCCATCCCTCCTGAATTTCTGCTAGCTACAAATTTGTTTTCCATTTCTGTAATTTTGTTATTTTGAGAGTCTGATTTGCATGGAATCTTGTAGCATGTAACCTTTGGGATTGGCCTTTTTGTCACTCAGCATCATGCTGTGGGACTCAACCTGGATGTTAAATTGTGTCATTGGTTACTTTCTTTTTATTGTTGAGTAATATTCCATGGCATGGATGTACTCTGTTGTAATCACTCTTTTGTTGAAACCTGTCTGGGTGGCTTGCAGCTTTAGGCTATTAAGAATAAAGCTTCTGTAAACATTCATGTTCAGATTTCTTTATGTGTGTGAGTATTCGTTCCTCCAGCATAAATGCCCAGGCGTTCGATTTTTGGGTGATGAGGTGGTTGTGTATTTAGTTTTAAAAGAAACTGCCAAATTGTTCGCTTGAGTGGTGGTCTTGTTTTACATTCTCGCCAGCAACATGAGTGATGCTTTTTCTGTGCATCCTTGCCAACATTTGGTGTTAGTGTGGTGTTTTATTTAGACATTCCGGTGTGCGTGTGTGTGTGTGTGTGTGTGGTGATGTCTCATTGTGGTTTTTATTTGCATTTCCTTAGTGGCTAATGATCTTTTCCTGTGTTATTTGCCATCTGTGTGTCCTCTTTGGCGAGTCCTCACTGTGTAGTTGAGACTGACCTGGAACTCACTATGTGGCCCAGGCTGGTCTCAACTCAAAGCAATTCTTCTGCCTCAGCCTCCTTAGTGCTGGGATTATAGGCATGCGCCACCACGCCTGGCCCATTCTTTACTTTTATGTATTTTTTTTTGGAATCAAGCCTAAGAAGTCTTTTCCTAGTGCTGAATTTCAAAGATTTTATCTTGTGTGTCTTTTTTTTTTTTTTTTTTTTTCAGGGGT